TTTGGACTTCATGAAAACCACTACAGCAACCGTATGAAAGAATGATTGAAGTGGAGAGAGACTTGAATTAGGTAAAGAGGGAATGAATTAGAATGGTGATTATGTGAGTAGAGAGAGGGGCAGAGATATTTATAAGATTGGCAACTGATTTCACATGTGGTATGAGTGAGAGTTAGGCATGCATTGAGCATGACACAATGTATTTTGAACCTGAACGATTGGAAGGATGATGGTATCCTCAGAAATGGTGAAGTTTTCAGTATTGTTTCTATTATTATTGTTGAGTCACTTTTTTTAAACATCTTAAGTAAATGGAAACAGTATTCCAAGGTAGATATAGCTGTGGTCTTGGATTCGAGAAGGACTAGAATCAAGTGCCTTGTGTGACATGGAGTTACTCAGAAATATTAGAGATGATATGTGGTGTGTGATGGTGGGAAAAGCCAGGAATTCTACTCTTTATATTTCTTGGTTATTTTGAACTCCTCTTCCCTTTTCATTGGAAAGATAGAAAATAGTTGATACAGGAGACATGCATGGCACATTGGAAAAACTGCTGGATTGAGAGGCATATTGGCCTTAATTTCCCAGCTTCTTTCACAAAGTAGGTGTGTGACCTTGAGCAAGTCATGTAAATTTTCTGGGCCTCTAATTTCAATAGTAGTAATATCAATAGTAGTAATATAGTAATACTACTAGTAGCTGCAGAAGCTGTCAGTTATGTATACAGTGCTTGAAGAAGGCTGTATTCCTAATTCTAAGGACATTGTTGTTTCCATTTTGCCAATTAGACCTTCCAAGGAAAAGGATTAGGTCATGTCTCATACCCTTTCTCATTTTTAAATTAAAGCATTCTGTAATAGCATCACTATATTATCTTCAGTTATCCATTTCTTTCTTAAAGACTGTAAATTATTAACCTTTCTTCAGTCTTCTTTTCTTCTGATAACAAAACAAAAGAAACCAACATACACACTCCCTAATCATTAAGAAATGCCACATGTCAACAATGACAATAACCCTAGACTCCACTACTGTCTTAAGGGGTAGGGAAGGGGGTTTGAAACAGGAGTGATAAAGTAAGTTAATATTATAGAAAATTTGGCTTTATGCTAAATTATCACCACAGACTATGAAGGGACTGTTAATAGGGTCATGTATGTTATACTAAACATATGTAGGGGAGGGAAAAACAAATCCTCTGGTTTCCAGGATCTCTTTGTGTCATAGGGGAATAATGAATAGGGATAGACATACTAAATGAACATAAGAACCTATTGGTTGAAAAAAAATAATTCCATGAAAACATTCAATCCATCAACAAGTATTTATTACTATATATTTATTATTGTTCTAGGTGCTGGCAATATAAAGACAATGAGAAACAATTCTTGCCCTCAAGGAGCTTACATTTTATCAAGAGGCAACATATTTTTGTGTATACACACAAAATGCAAAATGAATACAGCATACATTAAGTCCCATTAGAGTTAATCCAACAATAATTCAAGGAAATTAAGCAAATATCTGACTACCTATGATGTACCCACATAATAATTTAAAGGAATTTCTGATGTGTAGATAGGACAATCCAAGTCAGATATGGAAAATGATAGCTATTGAAAGACCATCATGTAGATGAAGGATTTAATTTGTTTTCATGGTGTCAGAGGTATGAACTGGAGGAAATTAGGAAGAGAAAGCAAGATATAAATAAACAAAATTCAATTATATATAAATAAAAAAATCTAACAGTGAGAGCTGCCTAAGACAGGAATGGATTTCATTAGAACAGACCTGCATGACTTGGCAGTAGGTAGGGACTTAAATTAAAATAGTCTAAACTTCTTCAGGCCACAGAGAGGTTTTTAATGGCTCACCTTCCAAGTAAAGGTAACTAGAGACAGACTGATGTTGGTTGGTTGCTGTGGGTCATGTGACAAACAGGAGAGAGTGTGCATTGGTGGGCCACCTGCAAGTGGCCTGTGGGCTGTATGTTTGTTATGCATTAGAATATAGTAAGTTCACTATCACTGCTACTTTTCCAGCAGAAGCTGGATGCTCAGGTATTGTTGATGTAGCAAAGTTTCTAGATTACCTATGACTTGGATTGTAAACTCAGGCATCCCTGCTAACATAGAAACTGGATGATTTCCAACTTCACCTAGATTTTTCCTTTTCTGTTATCAATTCTCCTGTGTATCAATAGGAAATAGAGAAGAGGGAATGAATAAAGAAATATTGTGGAACAAGAATCAACAGAACTTGGAAACCAATTGATTGTAGGAGATGAGGAACTGATAATGCTGAGGTTTTCAGCATGAGAAGCTAACAGGATGTTAGTGGCATCAACAATAACAAGGAAGCTTAGAAAATAATAATAGTATTTATGTTATTATTTAAAGTTTATAAAATGCTTTACAAATATCTCATTTTATTCTTACAACAACCCTGGACTGTAAATGTCATTTTTATCCCTATTTTGCCATTGAGAAAACTAGGACCAAAATTTTTTTTTAAAAAGTTTAAGTGACTTGCCCATGGTCACAAACCTAGGAAGTATCTGAAGCTGGATTTGAACTCAGATCTTCCTTACTGCAGACCTATAGTACCACCTGGTTGCCTCTAAAAAAAACATCAATTGACTTAGAAAAGAAATGAGTTCAAATTTGATTATGTTGAGTTTGAGCATTTAGCAAAATATTCTGGTGGTTATGTCCAGTATGCAATAAGAAATATAACACCAGACATTAGAGAACAGAGAAATAAGAAAAGATATGGGAGAAGTTAGAAGGGGGTGATAATTGAAGCCATAGGAATAGGTGAGATCATAGAATCATAGATTAGCAGTTGAAAGAGAAATTGAGGGCTGTTGAATAAACACCTTCATTTTTACAGATAAAGAAATTTGGTACAGAGAATTTAAGTGATACCCAGACTAACGCAAAAAAAAAAAAAAAACCACCTGTGGTAGGATTTGAACCTGTCTTGTGACTCAAAAACCAGGACCCTCTCCAGTAAATCACATTGTCTAAATTATTAGAAAGTATTGAGACAGAAGAAGGGTAAAGAGGGGACATTAATGCATGGCCAAAGTTTAGAGCACTATTTAGGAAAAATTAAATCAATTAAGGAAATCATAAAAGAATAGATAAATGTACGAGGAAGAGAACAAGGATAGAGGAGTATCATATAAGACTAGGAAGACAAAAGTATTAAGAAGGAAGCAGTGTTCATTCCACAGTGTCAAATTTTTCAGAGAGGCTCAAAAGAATGAGAACTGAGAAAAGATCGTCGAATTAGGAGATGTGGAGATTATTGGTGACCTTGGAGAAAGCAGTCTCTAGAGAGTAGTGGAGACAAAAGCGAGATTGCAGAGATTCCAGGAATAAGTGGATAACAAGTAATTAGAAGGTACAAATACAGACTTTCCTTTCTAGAATGGTGGCAAAGGGGAAAAAAGAGAGTGATAGTTTGAGGGAGTGATAAAATCAGTCAAAATTGTTAGTTTCTTTGTTTTAGGATGGGGAAGTAAATACATATATGGGCAAGGGAGAGGAAAGAGAAAGAAAGGAGGAAGATGGGAATGAAAGAAAATGAGAATGACTGTGACTAATGGATAAAGGTGTTGAGAGTATCAAAAAAGATCAGATCAAGGGGCTGATTAGCTTTGTAAAGTAGGAGAGTCATCTCAACATAATGATTTTGGAGAGAATTGCACATGTGGATGGAGCCAGAGGAAAGTAGAGATGTTTTGAAATATGGAAGAAAAGAGATAAGAGAAATGATGGAGTCAGTCTCAGAAATTGGGAGGTAAGATAATTTGCTGTTAATAGGTAGACACAAAACTAGAGTTGGGGCTTGAAGAGAGAAGGGAAAAGTTGGGGAAAAAAATTTCTGAGTACACTGTGATGGAGAATCAATCAGAGATGAATAAAAGGGTTATGGTACAGTTCTGAGAACCCTAATGAGGCTGTAAAATTTAGGGTAAATTCTGTCAGCGTAATTTTATGGCTTCATCCAGCAGTGCTCAGCAGCTCAGAAGTAAGACCAGAACAGCTTAATGATGGGAGTGAACTAGAATTATAGATTAGCAGGTTGGAATAACAGAAAGATAAAACAGCAAGGGCTTGTAGAGTACAGAATATCTTATTGAAATGATTGACTATATAGTCAAGATTGTAAAGAGACAGAAATAAAGCCATAATGTGGATGATGGACTATAAGAACAAGGAGGGAAAAAAAATCACTGGAGGGAAACATGGATGGGAATTCACAAAGATGGTGAAGTGAAAATTCAGAAGAAATAAGCCGATAGCAGAAGTAGAAAATCAGGATATTAGCCAAGTGGAATTTTATACTACAAGTATTTCTTGAAACTTTACCATGTGCTCAGCATTCTGATGAATATTTTGATATAGGAATAATAACCTCAAGGAGCTTATAAACATGTTGAAGAGATGAGAATCATTTTCATAATATCATAATGAAGGTAAGGCCATTAGCTATTCACTTTTCTGAGACAGAGTAGTAAACACTTCAAGAATAAAGAGGTAAAAAAAAATATGTGCAACAGTAGGTCTTAGAGGAGGTGAGCATCTCTAGTTTAAATCTGGTAGTCTGAATGGAATGATAAAATTACCCCAACATACTCGTATTGCTGGTCTGAGGAGGGAAGCCTGTCAAATGTTGACTACTCCTTCCCTTGATGCCTCCTTCAGTGAGGGAATGTTATTTTTCTTCTAAAGGACTGTTTATTTCTATCCCACCTCTCAATCCTTTTCACCTTTTCCCCTATTGTAATCAAAACCTTTGGATCCAAAAAATAAAATGAACTCCACATATATTTAGGAATTTTAGTTATCCAGGCCATATCCCTACAAACCTGGAGAAGCAAGAGTTAAATGTAATAAAGTTTCTTCATGACAAAAGAAAAGAAACCAAGAAGATCTGACTATAGAACTAGAAGCAAACAGGTTTCTGAGCAGAGAATGAGAGGCTTATGCTGAACCCTTGGAATGGAATATTTTAATCATCCCTTCACGGATTTGTTTGGTTTTCACCCCATAGACAATGGGGTTAAGCAAAGGTGGAACAAGCAAGTATAGATTGGAAAGGAGAATGTGGACATAAGGGGCAACATTAAATCCAAATCTATGTATAAATGATGTGAAAAAGGTCAGGATATAGAACTGAAGAAAAACAAAGATATGGGCTGTGCAGGTATTGAATGCCTTGAGCCGGGCTTCCTTCTGGGGCAACTTAAAGACAGCCCGGAAGATCAGGCTGTAGGATATAAAGATGAAAATTACATCAAAGCCCAGGACTGAGAAAGCCACAAAGAGACCATATACTTTATTTACTTTTGTATCTACAGCTGCCAGCCTGACCACAGCCATGTGCTCACAGTAGGAGTGGGAGATGAATGTGGTCTTGAATACCTTCAGCCTCAACTTGATGAGAAGTGGGCACATGATGATGATAATGGCAGCTCGGATGGTGACAGCAACAATGATGTTAATGAGTACTTTCTTGGTGAGGATAGCTGAGTGCCTTAGAGGGTTGCAGATGGCTACATAACGGTCAAATGCCATAGCCAGGAGGATGCCTGACTCCATGCACTGGAACGTGTGAGTAAAGTACATCTGGACCAAGCAGGAATTAAAGTGGATCTCTCGTACCCGCAACCAGAAAATGGCTAACATTTTAGGTGTGATGCATAGGGTGAGCCCCAAGTCAGTAGCTGCCAGTATAGCCAAGAAAATATACATAGGCTCATGGAGGCTGCGTTCAGAACGAATGATGATGATAAGGAAGCTATTGCCAATAACTGCCAGGATAAAGGAAATGAAGAATGGAATCCCAATCCAATGTTGTATTGACTCCAGGCCTGGGACTCCAATTAGAGTGAAGATGGAAGGGCTGAAGAAGGTCCTATTAGGAGATTGCATGATGGGCCAGGGTTGGCCACCTTCTCCAAAGCTACCTCACTCTCCTAGAGAGGGAGAAGATATCAGGAATTACCTACCTATAGAGCAACAGATACCTTACTAGTTTGGCAACTGCTAGAAATTACCATAGGATATTTAGTCCAGACAACTGTCTTTAAACAGGATTGCCTCTAAAGATCTCTGGGAGTTCGTGATTGTGCAGGATTTTTTTTAACCCTGAAATCAAACTATCTATCTATCATCTTTTATGTCTACATATATTAACCACAAAGGATATAGGTATAAAATTGAACATCAAGAAATATTCACAAATTAGTTTTCTTATGTAATCTGCAATAATTACTGTACACCTTTTAATTTTTGTATGTGTTTGTACTTTTCAATGGAAATTTAATTGCAAAGGCATTCATTCTTTTCAAATATCTATTTCCATAAGCATCTGTCTTTCCCCTAAAAAATATTGCTTTGATACTCATAAATTCTTATGATTTTCAACTTTTCTATTAATTTGTTATTTCATTGGGAGTTATCCAGTGGTTGAACTTGTTATGTAATTCTGTCCACTTGGTAGTATGTAATTTGTTCTATTAAAATACTCCGAGATGGCCCATATCCCAATGTTACATAATTAACTTTGAAAACTGCAGCAACATGTATATAATAACTCAGAGTTTGCAAAACATTTTACAAATATTATCTTATTCCCACAGCAACCCTGGGAGGTAAGTGTTATTATGATCCCCATTTTATAGAAGAGGAAACTGAGAAAAACTGAGGTGAAGTTGCTTTCCCAGTGTCACACAACTGATAAATGTCAGTGACTTTAATTGAATTCAGGGCTTGTTGATTTCAGGTTTAGCGTTCTATCCACTGTGCCACCTAAAAACCTAGATGCTATCCAGTTGATCAGGCTTACCTTGGTGACAAGACAGGTAAATTTGTGAAATATCCTTATGATTTGTAAAAAGCCAGTTTCATGAAAGCTGCTTTATCAACATCCCAGCCTCATGTTTTGCTAGGATTGACAAAGACAAAGAAAGTTGCATGTAAGCCAGAGTCCTGAGAAGCTGAGAATGCCTCCCTTCCATGATATAGTTGCTTTAATTGCGAATTATTGCTTAAATAAACATAAGCATTTGAAACTAAAAGCCCCATTCTCAAAAAGGAGTACATAGAAGGGACATTCTCCATTCTCATATTCATCATAAATTTGGGGACATAATAATGATTTATTCATTTTTTCTCTGTAAGTCTTTGCATTTTTCCATCTTCCATGCCTAGGATGCTATTCCTCCTCACCCCTGCCTTTTGAAATTCCTGGTTTCCTTTAAAACTCAGGTCAAGCACCACATTTAAGCAGAGGGACTTACTTAATTCACATCTCCCTGTACCCAGCATTTTCCTCTTTTAAGGTTAACTTGTACAGGATTTGTATATATTTTGTATATATTTTTTATGTGTATGTTGTCTCCCCCACTATAATTAAAGCACCTTGAAACTGTCCCTTTTATCTTTGTCTTCCCCAGCAGTTAGCATACTTCCTCAAAGGTAACAGGCATTTCATGAATACTTGTTGACTCATTCACAAGAAAGTATAAGAATAAATGGAGTTTTCCTTAAAATGATAAGTAATATCTATCTAAAACCATCAGCAAGCATTATATGTAATGAGGATAAGCTAAAAACCTTCTGAATGAGGAAATTGAGAGAATTGAGGGGATTAGGATAACAAGTGGTTAATTGTAGGAATTGAGTGAACCGCACTGACTCCATTTTGTAACTCAATTCTGGAGTTACTCAATTCCCTTCTATTCAATTATAGATCTAATCTAACTTCTCTCCTGTGAGGAAATTTTATTCAGTAGTGGGAATTAAGAGAATAATTTGTTGCAATATTTGAACCTAGCCCTACCTGGCTGGGAAGCTGGTCCACCTCTATCTGCTGCTTAGAGACCCTTAATTAAGAACCTAGCTTATGGTGACCAGAAACATTAAGATCCAAAGATTGAAGCAAGGAGTTTTCTCACAATTGTATATCTCAAGCAAATTATATGTCTTATCTGAATACTGACAATATATTGATCAATCGGTTATAGTTTCCATGTTCTTTTGATTATTTACAGACACCAGGGAGAGTGGGGTGCATCTTTTTTCTGAATTCAGAGAATTATATCTGTTTGCTTTTCCCCTCCCAACTTGGAAAATTCTTAACTTTCATCCAATTATGTCATATTACCTAATTTGATAGTTTCCTTTTAATTAATTGATATTATTTAATTAGTTGTTTTTAATGTATAAATGTCTCTCTCCCTTGCATTCAAGATGCAGGCCTAAGGGGAGGAAGTTTGGTCCTGTTTTGTTGAGTAATTGGAATATATTGCTTAATAAACCAAAATGCTCAGAAGATTGAACCTTTGTTTCCTCAGTCATTTCATCTGTCACCTGCCATACCAATAAAATCAGAGATGAAGCAAGGATGTCCATTATCACTACTATTATTCAATGTTGTACTAAAAATGTTAGCTATGGTAATAAGAGATGAAAAAGAAATTGAAGGAATTGTAATAGTCAATTAGAAAAACAAACTATCCTCCTTTGCAGACAGCACAATGATATACTTAGAGAATCCTAGAAAATTAGCTAAAAAGCTAAGTGAAATATTTAACAATTTCAGCAATATAACAGGATATAAAATATAAACTGTCATAAATTATTAGCATTTCTATATAGTACCAACAAAGTCCAGAAAAAAAATAGAGAAATTTCATTTAAAATAATTTCAGACAATATAAAATACTTGGGAGTCTACCTGCTAAGAAGAACTCAGGAACAATATGAACACAATTACAGAACAATTTTCTCACAAATAAAGCCAGATCTGAACAGTTGGAGAGATGTTAATTGCTCATGGGTAGGCTGAGTTAATACAATAAAAATAACAATTCTACAATTCTAAAAATAACAATTTCTTATTCAGTGCTGTACCAATCAAACTACCAAAAATACCAAAAAAAAAAGTTCTACATAGAACTAAAAAGAATAATAACAAAATTCATCTGGAAGAACAATAGGTCAAGAATATCAAGGGAATCAATGAAAAAATGTGAAGGAAGGTAGACTAACAGTCAGATTTAGAAACCCAGAAATACATAAAATATGGGTATTGTTTTGTATAATATCAACATATTTTATCTTTTGACAACATAATAATTCAGATTTCTTCTCTGGTAAAAGAGATGGGGCAAAAAAAATTTACACAGATTTTCCAGATTTCAGGGACACTGCACCCATAAGCCACAATATGGAAGGGATAACTGTATTTAATAAACATGAAGATTCAAGCTTTTGGGACAAAAATTCACTATTTGACAAATTGTTGGGAAAACTGAAAAACAGTTTGGCAAAAACTAGGTAGAGACCTATATCTTACTCCATATACCAAGATAAGATCAAAATGAGTACATGATTTAGACATAAAGGGTGATATAAAAAATTATAATAATTAGGGAACATGGAAAATTTTACCTGTCATTTCTATGGATAAGGGAAGAATTTATCACACATAAGACACAGAGATCACTATATTATGTAAAATGGATAATTTTGATTATATCAAACTCTAAAGGTTTTTGCATAAATAAAACCAATGCAACCAAAATTAGAAGGAAAGAAATAAACTGGGGGAAAATTTAATAGCAAGTTTCCCTGATAAAGTCTTGATTCTCAAATATATAGAGAACTGAGTCAAATCTATAAGAATACAAGTCCTTCTTCATTTAAAAACTGGTCAAAATATATCAACAGACAGTTTTCAGAAGAAGAAATCAATGCCATCTATAGTCATGTGAAAATTGATCTAAATAGCTATTAATTGGAGAAATATAAATTAAAAAAACTCTGAATATCACCTCATACCTTTCAGAGTGACTACTCCAACAGAAAAGGAAAATGACAAATGTTGGAAAGGATATAGAAAAATTACAATACTAATGCATTGTTGCTGGAGTTGTGAACTGACCCAACTGTTCTGGAGAACATTTTGGAGCTATGCCAAAAGGGATAAAAAACAAAACAAAACCAAACAAACAAACAAAAAAAAAACTTTATACCCTTTGACCCCAAAATACCACTACTAAGTCCGTACCCCAAAGAGATAAAAGAAAAAGGAAAATGACCTACATGTACAAAAATATTTGCAGCACTTTAGTGGGGAGGGGGCAAAAATTGGAAATTGAGGGGATTCCCATTAATTAGCAGTGGTTGAACAAATTGTGGTATATGATCATGATGTAATACTATTGTGCTATAAGAGATGATAAGCAGAAAGCTTCCAATAAAACTTGGGAAGACATAAGAACTGGTGCAAAGTAAATAGAATGAAGGAGAACAGCATGCATAGTAACAGCAATACCGTACAATGATTGACTGTGAATGGCTTAGTTATTTTCAGCAATACAATGATCTAAGACAATACTGAAAGACTTATGATGAAAAATTCTATCCACCTCCAGAGAAAGAACTGTTGGAGTCTGAATGAAGATTGAAGTATACTTTTTGAAGCTTTCTTTATTTTTTTGCTTTTTTATTCTTTTGTTCTGCAAGATGTCTAATATGGGCATATATTTTTCATGACTGCATATGCATAACCTGTATCAAATTCCTTGCCTTCTCAGGTGGGGGAAGAGGAAAGGAGAGCGGGAGGGAGAGAATTTAGAACTCAAAATTAAACAACAAAAAAAGTGTTAAAATTGTTTTTACACGTAATTGAGAAAAAAAGGCAGGTTTAACTGAAAATATACATATCATTGGAATCAGGAGATGTAGGTTCTAGTTTGAGTTCTGTCTACTGCAACACTGAGAAAATCAAAATGTCCCTGAACTTATTTGCATATCTACAAAATGGCAATAAGAATTCCTTTCCTGCCTCTCTCATAGGGCTGTGGACCCAATTAACAATGGGTGTAAAACTGCTTGAATAAAACAGCCCAATCACCCAATAA